TATATATACATATTATTTCTTCGTGTTTAGAGCAGATTTTGTCGGGTTCAGAACATTGGTTGGCGCGTGGTTTCTCTCCCTTTTAGAACTGTATCCAAAGGCAGGTGGTGCTCCGACTGTAGCTCATCCTAGGTAGTGATCTTCTTCCAAGGGTAAAATGGTGCTTTGGCTGTAGCTTATAAAGCGGTGCTTCGACTATAGCTCGTTTATGATAGAGTATTTATCCTTCACTTTCCATCTCCGCAATATTTCCTTCACCGTCATTGTCGTCGTAACTTTTACAGCTGCTTGAACGAATAGTTTTTGTGTCGCCCCCCAGCCACAACTCCTCCAAACCCCATCCATAACCACCTTCAACCACAACTCCACCTCACAATCCGTAAACAGTTGCACCCCTTATTTCCCTGTTGCTTGTTGCTCTCCTACAACAGCCACGTGCCACGTTTTCTTGATCCCCAACCATACTACCCTCTTTTTTCTCCTATTTGGAGCAAGGCTATTATTTCTTCGTGCTTAGGGCAGATTTTGTCGGATTTTTGTTCAGAACATCCGTTGGCGTCGTGGTTTCTCTCCCTTTTAGAATTGTATTCAAAAGAAAGTGGTGCTCCGACTATAGCTCATCCTAGATAGTAATCTTCTTCCAATAGAGTATTTATCCTGCATCTCCGCAACATTTCCTTCACCATCGTTGTCGCTGAAACTGTTACAGTTGCTTGAAAGAATAGTTATTATTTCTTCGTGTTTAGGGCAGATTTTGTCGGGTTTTTGTTCAAAAGATCCGTTGGTGTCTTGGTTTTTCTCCCTTTTAGAATTGTATTCAAAGGCAAGTGGTGCTCCGACTGTAGCTCATCCAAGGTAGTGATCTTCTTCCAATAGAGTATTTATCCTGCATCTCCGCAACATTTCCTTCACCGTTGTTGTCGACGAAACTGTTACAGTTGCTTGAACGAATAGTTTGTGTCGTTACTCCCCCCCCCTCCCGCTCTTCCAGACCATGTCCATAACCACCTTCAACCTCAACTCCACCTTACAATCCGTAAACAGTTGCACTCCTTATTTCCCTGTTGCCCGTTGCTCTCCTACAATAGCAACCTGTCACGTTGTCTTGATCCCCAACCATACCACCCTCTTTTCCCTATTTTAGCCACACCGCAACCACCTTTCAGGCTTCCTACCTCTGTTGTCCGCCTCCCCGCGAGCCAACCACAGCCACCTCCAGCCCCCCCCAACCAAATTGTGATACAAATCTCACTGCATTTGTGTTGCAACTGTTGTTGTTTTTTCAATTTTCGTGTGTCGTTTGTGACCGCCTTTTTTCAATAATAGTATATGTTCACCTATTTTTACTTGTTTAAGTTTAGTATCACGCTTAGTGGAATAGAGGTTGCTTGTTGTTGTTGTTGTTATTGTTATAGCTTCCGTGTTGTAATATGAATCACATTCGAGCTGTAATTTTATGGTCTCAATTTCATCATTGAATATCATTGATATAAGACATCATTGGATAATCATTTGGCTTGAATTTTTTTTTTTTTATTTTACAATAGAAAAAGCATTTTAACTTAATTGGTGGTATTTCATGACTAAGGATTTCATCCATTGCAATAGCAACCTTAGATCTTAAGATGTCTTGCATCAATAGAAAAAGTGACACCATTTTTTAGAGATGATCTTTTATCTTATTTTTAGCTTTTTTTATTTTGCCTTTTTTGTTAATTAGGGTAGTTTTGTAATTAAGGTCCATTAGAGTTATTAATGTCTTCTAAATACCTATGAATTAGAGTTTCAGGCTTCGATGAGTTTTGTGTTTGTTATCTGGATAAACTTGAAAGAGAGAAGAGCAGGAATTTCATTTTCTTTGGGGTAGATTTTACGTAAATTTAGGAGAGCTGGAGAGGAAACCATAGTGGGGACTAAGGCATTGCCAAGATTTGTTTACCTAGATTCCCATCCCTTTACTCCTTGAAACTGTGAGCAATCATTGCCGTCAAGATCTAGGAACAGCCCAGGTTTTATGAAATTACCTCCTGCTTCCCGGTTTCCAGGCATTAACGAGCAGCCAAGTACAACATATGTCCTACAGCCTAGAAATTCAAGAATCCTCAGACGGTTAACATCTTCTTGATTAAGACAAGACCACAACCAGATTCTTTATTTATTTTCCAATCTAATCACACTACTTAAATTTCTTTACACTTCTTTAGAACCATTTACCACTTTCTGGGAATGACCAACCTGCAGCCTGCAGGTTGTTGGGATGGCCGCAAAAGCTTGAATCTACCCCTATTTCCAGCTAGCAAGAATGAACCCATTTCTAGTTACAAGTAGTCAACATAGATGAGGTTCTCTGTTCTAAGTTTTGTAAATTATCATTGGTAGTCTAAGAACACTTAACTACTTTATTTGCAAATTTTATTTTTCTGCAAGGCTGCTGGGAGGAAAGCTAGTGCGGGAGAAAACCCCTGTATCAGGCAGCTAAATAGAATCCAGATCTGCTACATGCTTCAGTTCAAGTTACAGTGGACCGAATCTCATCCTGGGCCTCACTGTTAGAGGCTGAATTAGGAATTTAGAGACACAATAACTACACAGAAGAAATTGGCTGTGATTTCCCGCAGTTTTGAATGTAGGATGGGATCTAGATTTCAATTGTTTTGAGCAGAAGCCTTAGAATTAGATGGGAAACATTTCTGAGATATAATTCCTCACAAATTCTTCAATTTTATAATTTTGTACATTGATTTGTGTGTACTTTCATCTTATAAATTTAGCATTCATTTAGTGTTAGAGAGTTTGGAATCATTAATCAGAAATTGAAAATGTTTAGGTTTGCCTTGGTCTTCTTTAAAACAGCACTTGACCTTCTATGAGGTACTCACAAATAAAAAAAGAAGGTCAAGGAAAATATGGTTAAGCAAGTGAAAAAAGATTAGATATAAAAATATAGATTTCTCCATAAATGTGAACCTTAGACATATTCAGCTGCAATAGTTATTTTCAATGCAAAAATACACTATCGGTTAATTCAAGGCAGCCTTTTTATTGCTTCATTTTCAGGCATCTACCGCAATCTTATTTGGCTACAACTTCTTGATGTTCAAAAATTTATGCGACCAAAAATAACTTTTTTATAGTCAAATCTATCAACTTGAGGCAGCTATAAAAGAATTCATGCCCAACTTTTTCATAAGATAAAAATTAATAATACCCAAAAAAGCTTTTAAAAATCTACTTTTCTAGCAACAGTTATACAACAGTTATTATAAACTGTAGATACGCCAAAAGCACCCTAAATAACGAGTAAAATCAACAAACATATGTACATGAAGTTCATGATATATTCTCCCTTAGTGTAACATAAAAAGTAAGGCAACGATACTCCACTAAAAAAAAGAAGATGATAAAATAACAGAGAGAATAACAAATGGACTGCTAGCAAAGCCAGATTGACCATTAATTATTATTCCATTTGAACTTCATTCAATGCTCTTCCAGTACCACACAATGAAAAAAAGATTATCATATTATTTTAAAAAGGGATGACGAGAGAAAAAAGCAGCATACCTTCATCTTCCTTTTCTCTTCTGTGAAGATGTAGGCATCTAGCTCGGCTTGCCTTCTCTCAGCAACATGAATAGCTTCTATAAAGTCAAGCACTAACTTCACATCATCAGACCTTTTATCATCATCAGGGCTGCCCGTGAAACCCTTCAATTAAAAAATCAAATGACATGGAAATTTACAATAATGTCACGAAACAATACGAGGCATGAAATTAAATGAACATGATGATAAGTAATGGTAAACGTTCTTGCCATGAAATAACCTCTTTATCTTTAAAGAACGCCCCAATTGCATCAGTTCCTTCTGCTTTTTTATAACCTTCAGAACGCTCATCCTCAATTAGTAGAGAATAAGATTCCGCAAGCGATTTTCCTTCCCTCCTTTCACTATCTTGTGCAACCTAAAGGTTTTAGCCAGATCAAAGATTCAATTCAGATGGCAACACTAAAAAAATGCATTTTTAAGCAAAACTGCGATACCAAAAAATGATCAATTTACTGACAAATTAATCAATTGAACCATATTGGGTTAAACAGAATTCATTTATTGCTTGGTTCAATTGCTCAGCCCCTTATAGTTTAAGCCTGATGGAAAAAAATGTTGGGTTACTATGTCCTAGAATATCCATATGCTGTGTTATAAGAGAAATACAAATGTCACAGATGTATTTGTTTTCCTTTTTATGATAGCACAGAAAAAACTTCAAAACCCGACAGAAGTTCCCTGAGAAAACATAAATTCCAGGAAGAAAATGGCAAACTGACAGGTGGAGGAAAAATATTTCCAGTTAGAAGCCAACCCAACATTCTCTTCTCTGATGTTGTTTTACTGAATGATTCCATGGATGCAATCAGAAAAAAAAAAAAGAGCAAAATTAAAATTTTGTTTCATGCTAGAAAACCTTGTTTGAGCAGAAGCTAGTGGCTCTAGACATAATCTACAAAAACAATCTAGCCCTAAAAAGTAGCAATTCTAAAATCAAGGGCCAATCAAACTGTAAAATAAATGGTTGGGATTAGGGTTGTCAAATGGCTTGTTGTTTGCGAACAGCTCGTTAAGTAGCTCGTGATCGATTCGTTCACAAATGAGCCAAACACAAACAATTTTTTGGCACTCAATGTATAAACGCAAATAAAATTTTGTTCATTCATGTTCGGCTCGTTTTGGCTCAAAAAATTTGAATCATCTCTCTCTCTCTCTCTCTCCCTTATATATATATATATACATACATATACATATAACGTAATTCAGATCACATCAACGCATGGCTTCGTCTTCCTTCTCGCTCGCCTCTGCTAGGGTTTCGCCTGATGGAGAACCCTAGCAAATGTTTTGCATCCGACTTCTCCGGCGTCGTCTTCTGTCGCGTCGGTTAGCGTCGCTTCCTGTTTCGACGTCGACTACGACTCGTGTCTGTGTCTTGCATCTCGTTCGATTTTGACGCCGAAAACTTCGCACATTTCACGTCTGTCGCCTCCTGTGGTCGCGCATTTGCGGCTCCCGGCTCGTTCAAGCTCGAAGTTTCTGCGTCGACCGTGAAAGATTTCTGCGGCTCCGTCCGTTGCACTTGCGCCCGAATTACTCGCAGTCCAGACTCAAGTAGCTTGCCGCTGTTCAACTCTCTTCCATGGCTATGACTCCTTCTCAACCACCGACTACTTCAGTTTCAAACCTTGGGAAGGCTTCCTTTGTTGATATGGTTGGCTCTATGGGATCAGATCAGGATTTCTCTCGGGTTTACCATGAATCATTCGAAAGCCAGGAGGACTGAAACCTTATCAAGAAAAAGGGTAGGAAGAGTGGTAAACTGGCTCTATTCTTCTCTGATGTTGAAGTTTCCAACCTAGTTAACAAGTTCAAATTCACCCTCATTGGAAAGTTCCAATCCAGACATCCCAAAATGGAAATCGTTCGAAAGGCTTTTGAAGATCTTAAACAATTGAAACTTTGGAATGTTGATCTCTTTGATGGAAGACATGTGATGATACAATTATCCAAAGTGGAAGACCATGCCAAAATATCTTCCAAAAATGTTATGACAACAGAGGGAAAATATATGAAACTATTAAAGTGGTCTCCTAAATTTGACCTTAGTCAAGAACCACCTATAGTTCCAATCTGGTTTAAAGTTGCACTACTTCAACCACCAAGTCCTCAACTCTATTGGAGCTGCACTAGGGAGACCTATGAAATTGGATGCACCTACCTTCAATCTAATTAGACCTTCGATTGCAAGAATTCTTGTTGAAAGGGATATCACCCTCCCTGATGTGAATGAAATATGGTTTGGTACCACCCACAATGGGTATTGGCAACCAAGTATAGCAGAGAACGCCCTTGTGGTCAGCACCAAACCATATTTCGTTATTTTGTTAGAATCTGCACTATTGTAATCACTGTAGACTGTTTGGGCACACCCTTATCAAATGCTTCAGACTTCATCCACATTTGAGATCGGCATGTCCTAACAACATCATCCATGAGTAAAATATTACAGGCACTGTTAATCTTCCAGAAATATTGAATAAGAATTTGGCTCATAAGACTACTTCTCACCAACCAAACCAGCAACTTCTGACTACTATTGTTGAGGCAATTTTTCCTCATATTACAAATTCTACGAATTTTATTCTACCAGATGCTAGCCGAAGTGTCTTGGATCCACCTATTGCGAGAGAAGAGGGTAATAAGTTATGGAAGAGTGTCAGGATCAAGGTGTATTACAGGCTGAGTCAGATCAGCAGTTTACCTCCATCGAAGGTCCACTTATTATCTTCATCTTGCAAATATTTTAGTTAAGTTAATTAGTTACTTACTTTATTTTCAATTATCAAAAATTACAAAAAGAATTGAACATTCATTCTTATTTTAGCATCTCAAGTTTAAGCAAGAATATATTGCTAAGTAAAATTTTGTTATCTAAAATTAGTCCTTCTTGTGAGTTTGATATTCAGGACTTAATCAGAAAGTTTTATATTGCTTGATAACGATATGTATACTTGCATAGTATCTCATATTGAAATATTATAATTGCATTCTTATTTTCTTCATAGTAAAACATTTATCTAGCTTTTGCTTGAGATAAATGTTTGGCACTATTGCAAATTAAGAATACTCATTAAGGAAATTAATCGCATACATTCCATTTTACATCTATCTATAGAGAAAATCCGAATTAGACATCAAGAAACCTAATAGATGGGAAGTTTCTAAATAGGTATTCAACTTGCTTCCTCCTGTCGTCTGAATTTGGTTGGGAAGTTTTTATATGGTCATCCCAAAATAGAGCTTATTCGTAATAAATTTGAACTTATGCACCTTGTTAGAGAGTGAAAATTTGGACTATTAGATGGGAGACATATTCTTATTCAAATTATTAATGAAGAAGATTACACGCGCTTATTTGCTGGAAGGATAATCTGAATTGATAACAGAACAATGAAGATTCAGAAATGATCTGTGGATTTTGACTCATAGACGGAATCGTCAATCATTCTGGTTTGGATTTGCTTCTCTGGTCTGAAATTTCGTTATTTTTCTCAAAAAGTGTTGTACTCTATTGTCTCAGCTTATGATAAGCCACTCAAGATGTACATTCTTACTTTTAATCTTTCCCGTCCATCTGAAGCCAAAGTACTTATTGAAAGAGACATTACTTCTTCCGCTTTTGAGAAAATCTTGTTGGGCACACAACACCATGAATATTGACATAAGGTAGAGATTGAGCATTTTCCTTCGTATTGTTTGAACTGTCGTATGTTCGGTCACTCCAGTTTTCAATGTCATCATCTACACCCCCACCTCAGACTAAAAAAACAAAATGTTTCGCTAGGGGCAGTGATTTCATTTTCTCCTGATCAGCTCCAAGTTATTTACACTATTGATCATCAAAAGGATACACCTGAAGACGTCACTATCCCCGCAGGCAATATGTCAGTCATTCAGTCTCCACACAATATTGTAGCTCCCTCGTCTTTGGAACCTCCTATCATGGAGGCGAGGGGGATTCTATAGACCCCGTCTGCCCTAGAATCTATCACTGATATTACAGGTGGAAATACTTCTATTGCTTCGCTACCGCCTCATCAGGTCCAAACAGATGTCGATGTTACTCAGACTCATGGGGATCATGATGTGCAACGACCTACACCTGTCTGGCCACCTTTGGACCAATCCATTGATCAGATGAGTCAATCCTTGGATGAGGAATGGCAGATCTACACATCCAAGAGGAAGAAGAAGAATGAAAACCTACTTGAGCTCAGAAATCTGATGGATGATACTTTGGTTCATTCGAGTAATGGTACGCACCTTACCAATTTATTAGTTGGTTCCCTTTCAAAAACTAGAGACAGAGAGATGACTAAAGTGGGACGTCTCTAGCACTTTTGCGCCCGTTGGTGGCTTTTTGATTTTTTATCTTTATGTATATTTGTTTTATTGAGGTTTTTGTGTGTATTGTATTGTGTGAGTTGAACCTCTTTTAGGTCCTCTCATACAACCTATATGTACCTTTTTCTCTTTAATATATTAGCCATTGGGCGTTTTTTAATATATATATATATAGACACACACACACACCACACATTAAATATTGTGATTTTTGAAGAAAAAATATTATTCCTCTTCAATTTCTTATAAAATGATTACAAGATAAATAGAGGGGATGGGAAGTGGCTCCCACGTTAAGAAAATTATAAAATCAATCATAACTCCCCATGATATAAAAAAAAAATTATAAATACCAATAATTCTATACTCTAAATATAGGAAGTACTAAAATAGAAGATACATAAGAATATTCCTAAATTTCCAACACCCCCTATCAAATTGGAGCATAGATATATATCATGCCCAACTTGCATACAAGAAGTTCAAAACTAGGCCTGAACAATCCTTTTAGTGAAAATGTCAACAGTTTGTTCCTCGATAGTGATAAATGGCATGTAAATACCTCCACAATCAATCTTCTCTTTTATGAAGTGTCGGTCAATCTCCACATATTGTGCAATCATGTTGCACTAAATTTTATGCAATATTGATGGCACCTTTATTGTCACAACACATTTTCATTGACATGTTTATCAAAAATCACGGATCTTAAAGTATTCTCTTCAGCCATAACATCTGACATACTCTATTAGTCATAGCCTAATATTCTGCCTCGGCACTACTCCTTGAGACCAAACTATATTTCTTACTTCACCACGTAACCAGATTTCCCAAGACATAAGTACAATATCCGGATGTCGATCTTCCGTCAACAACTAGGTCTGCCTAGTCTCCATCAGTTTATGCATGTATCGGGGGTTCACTGGAATGAAAAAATAAAAATTGGTTCATGAGGGTCATTTTACTAAATCACTACCCAATTATATTTTCTAGTTTGATTTCATGATG